ATTGTGATGTAATGTGCTGAGTTGAATACACATACGTACATGTACAGTATACATGTCATGAATATGCATCTGTGTATTGGTGTAGAGTGTGTTTGGTCAGGAGGGCAAGAAGCTTGATCTCTACCCTGAGCCGCTGCGGCCACAAATCGATGCAACTCGGGTTTCACCAGCCTTCGGGGCTCGAGGCTTTTAGAGCTCAAGGCGTTTAGGGTTTTCGCACAGTTTTGTTGACGCGCATAAGTCTGGGGTCAGCTTTTCAGCGCTTTGCGTCGAACTTGAAAATCGGTACGAGACACGTCTACTGGACAAACGTCCGACAACAGCCTTGACAGTCTTGTGATGTCCCTAAAACCGCGAACACAGTGAAGCGACGCAATTGAGGAACTCAACACACTGATCTATCCCAACATCAATGATGGGGTCTACCGTGTGGCATTCGCAAAGGAGCACCTGCACGCAGAGATTCCTGACCAGTAGGAACGGCCGCTTGTGGATTGTGTTTGTATGCGAGGAGCCGGACCTGAAGGAGCAGATGCGCCAGAATGTTTTCAAAGCGCTGGCAGAGGCGTTGGCCTCGGGGCCTCGGGATCATGAAAGCGGGTCAACTCACGCCACAGAGGTTTCGAAGATTGTTTGGGGTTCCTTGTCTTCTACGGTTGAGGTTGCATGCTGCTGTGCTTTCTTTCCATCAGCTGCCACAGCCTAAACCATGCCTAAACTAAACCCTCGACATCCCTGAGCAATATTGACAATGTGTCATTCAAGGTAGGCTTCCGTTTCACGGGTATTTTTCGGAGGTATATTTTCAAAAGCTCATTGCGGTAGTGATCCCGGACGGGAAAATGGCTATAGAACAGCCTCGATATTTTCTACTTAGATGCTGCAGTTTTGCCGTAAGGTGCAAAATTGTAGAAGACAGTTACAAGGGGCCTGCATAACACCGCATAGAATTACCAAACAAACAGAACAAGGCATAAACTTTTATAAAAAAGATTCGCACAACTGGATTCAGGAAGCATCTATAGCGCATTCACAAAAACCCAACACGACCCCACAAAATCCTAAGTCCTTCACAAGGCCCTGAACCGTTAAGCCACAAAGCCCACAAAATCCTAAGTCCTTCACTATGGCCGAAGCCCTAAAGTAGTAACCCCAGGACCCAAACTTAACGGGGTATGCCTATCTGATTGCTTTTTGGGTCCCTATTAAATCCTGCAGAATCCCAAATCCTGAACCCCAATGCCTAAATCCCACAAAATCCTCAACCCCAAACCCTAAATCCAACATAAAATCCTAAGTCTTGCAGAGATCCACGAGCTTCGAGTATCGGCCCTTCTCAGGTGGAGGCCATCCTCGAGATGTCCAAGGCTCGGACTAGTAGAACCGAACAGAACATGAACCAATATATGTGTATGCGTTTTGTCATCTAGTTATATCGCATTATCTTAAGGTAGCTTATAGTATGTCATACTATCTTTGGTTCTATTCTAGTCTTTTCGGGTATAGCATATGATGCTTTGTGCAGTCAGTTCTATTCTATTCTGTTCTAGTTTAATATATGGTACGATGTTATGTTATTATACCACAGTATATTAATATATACCTCATGCCATGTTATGTTATACTATCCTATGTTGTTTCATATTGCACTATGTTGCATTGTATTTTATCATATTGCATTGAGTTGACTTCTATGGTTTCATATCATGTCATATTAGATATATCATATTACAGTGTTCTACATTATTATACATTATGCTACATATTGTATTCCATTACATTACATCATCTGCTACCATATCCTAGTATATTATGTTACAATATGTTAGATTAGATCAGATGGCATTATACTTATGTCATATTGTACTATACTATATTAGATTATGTTATCTACTGTAGCGTAATGTAATGGAGTGTTAGATAAAGTAGTGCCATGCAGTGTTAATATGCCGTGAGGTAATGTCATGTCTTGTAGCACAACATATGACAGAGCATAGTTTCTCACTCTCTCAAAGCAGGCATATCGGCATATGTAGTAGTGCGCTTGTTAGCTCATGGAATATGAAACTACCCTAAACCCTAAATGCGGTAAAGTCTAGAGTCTAGTATTGTAAGTCTAGGTGTGCTTTACCGAGATGCCGCGCCTTTTTTGCATTCGTTGGTGATATCTGCGGTTATATCGGAGTTTCAGAAAAAAGGACCCTCCCAAGTAGTAAGATCTTCAGAACAGGAACACCCCGACTTTGCAGAAACGGCCAGTTTGCGGTCGTTTTTTCCGGCTGCAAATGTTCTGGCACGAGTTAGTGAATTTTGAGCCCTCTTTGGTTGTGTCTGCAAGGAACAAGTGCATTATAGGGAAGTCTAGTGAACCACCGTGCCTGATTTAATGTTACTCTTGCCCATCGCTCAACACCAGTCTGCTTGGTGTGTCCCCCATTTTTGAAACACAAGATTGTGAGCATGACGCAACTAACTATGGCAATTTGACTGTTGTTTTTGCACTGTTGCTGTTACTTGTGCTCGCTATCATGTGATCAGGCGAAGGCCGCAGCAGAGGGCCGGGAGAAGTACGGCCTCGTAGCCGACTCCGGAGACGGCCTCTCACTCGCGGACGTCCGTGCTTTTCCACACCTGATTCGCTTCGACACCTGCTATTTCACGGCCTTCAAGTGCAATATCCGGCGACTCAACTCTGGGGAATACCCACACATCATGGAGTGGCTGAAACGCATGTATATGATGCCGGCGGTCAAGCAGACATGCAAGATTTACTTGGCATGCATGGGCTACAACCGGGACCATGGAGATGGGGCCGGAGCAAAGGCATGGAAAGAGGAGCGCTACGAATGGTTGGAAGCCTAAGGCTTCGGGGTCTTCCTTCAGTTTTAATCAGCTGGGTTGATGGCTGGAGTCAGCCTTTCTAGCCCGCCGCCTCGTTTCACCTCTTCGATTCTTCGCCTATCGCTTGAAAAAGAGGCCGGCACCATCACATCATGCGACGGCGGCGCGTAGCAAACCTCGAGCCTGCACTCAGCGAGCCCTGTACCCAAATTTTCTACCTGCCGCCCAGAGCGATGGAGACCGAATAGCAATGTCCAGTTCATAAGTTGTGGTTTTTTCGGGGGTTCATTACGTGCTCTCTGCACACGTGGGCTCAGGCATTTGTGGCGGCGATGCCAAGATCGCCCGGCACCTAGAGGTTTAAGTTTTCGTGCTTCGGAAGCTAAGGGGAAAACCTTAAGCTCTAAACCCTCTCTTGGGTAGGCGCGCTTTGGAGAAAGGGGCGTCATTGCACTTTAAAAAAACCCTAAACCCTCAACTCCAAACCCATGCTAGCTGCCTCTATCTCCGGAGGAGATCCAAGCAGGAGAGACGCCCGCGGTCCGTTGCTTTGCTCCTCATGCAATGGCTTTCCTGAGTTTGTTCTTTCGTATGTTGATATAATACCCATAGCCCAGTGCACGAAGCTTAGTGCTTCTTATTACTATTGTATCTCGTTCATTCCGAGCCGACAAATTCTCGTACTGCAGCAGGCGGCACTTGTCGTTCAGAACGGATTCCGGCATCAGCAATAGTTGAGTGCACATATTGGGGATTCATGACCTTAATGATGGTGATGATGATATTGCCCATGATGATGGTGAGATGATGTTGTTACTGTTGATGATGACCCTTATTCCGAGCAGAAACTATCTGGGATGCTCATTAAGGGCTACCGTTCCCATCAGCCGAAGGTCGAGCTGGCAGCCATCAGCAGCAGCAAAGGCCTGCAAGCCTAGAATTTGCTGCTGTCACGATCATTGGGGGTTCTTGGCAAACGTAGTTTGGCACAAGTCGTTTACAATGTGGCAAAGCTCTCCGGCCTTGTGTCTCTTATAATGTGGCAAAGCTTTCCTGCCTCTGGTCAATCTCCTGTCTGCAGTGTAGTCCCATGACGAAGACATTCTACTAGTACCTTCAAGATGCTCTGTGCGACATGAGGCCCACAAAAACAGCGACCAAAGTGCGACAAAGGGAGTTTGATCGCAGAAGGAGCTCTAGGGAACGCAGACATTTACCCGAAGCCCGAACCAGAAGTGCGGCAAACGACTCAGTGTCTCATATGCCAGTATGCTTGGAGCAGACGATTTTCTAATGCATTCGAAGCTGCCGCACTAACACAGTTGAACAGCGGATGTACCGTTTAGCTGGCCTTCTGGTCATGCAATTCCTTGGAAGCCCTCAACTCTTCAACTACTCAGGGCCTGGAGCCTAGGTCAGGCAAACGGGGCGTGACCACATCGGTCGCCAAGCATCTGAACCAACAAAACGCTCTGAAGGTTTGCCTCTTAAGCGACAAGGTGCTTTGAATTCATGGAGGCACGAACACATGAGATCTAGTAGAATCTCGTAAACATCCAAACCGCCGATATCGTCGGGGCTTCCGGCTTCAATGTCGCCGAAGAACTTGGGCCTCACCGTGTAGTTCTGCAGACACTGGACCTGCAAAGGTGCCGTAGCGCAGCCGGTGCATGCGGACACCATGCACGGCGTGACACGGTGACTTGGACTTGGGCCCTCTCATAGAAGCTACTGGTAGAACTCTGCAGCGAACCTGAGCTGATTCTTTCAGTGCAGCGATGCTGACTGAACGAACCCGAGTGCGGCCGCAGGTTTCTTCAGAGCGACATTGCCCTCCACGATGCTCCGGGCCTAGAGTGTATTCCCGCCAGCTACCTGTGAACAATCTGCTGTGTAACATCTTGGAATGCATTGAACCGGAATGAGGACTGGCAATGAAGCACTACACCGCTGCCTCAGCCTTTCGGATCAAGTCCAATCTACGAGGTACCTGGCCAGGAAATCTTTTTTTAGACCCTCGGGGATGGAGATTGACACGGCTGGCTGTGGCACGCACGGAGCACAGCAGAACTCAACAGTGAACAGAGTCTAGATTCCCATCGCTTTTCAGGCAAGAATCCCGGAGGGTGAAGTCTTAGTCTAGTACTCCTTAGCCTTCCATGTGGGATGGCCACCATGGGAAGCGTGTCTGGGGCACGAGCTCCGATCCTTCCGCGAATCCTGAGTGCCTCGTTGCCCTGGAGAGGTTCTCGGGTGAGCCGCGAGTGCAGTCAGAAGTCTACATTCTTCATGCGATATTTGCGAGATGACGGGTTACTATACAGCTGTTACAGCTGCCGCTGTCGTGAGTACGACTGCTGCAAAGCGCGACTGCATGACTTGCTGTGCCCAGGTACGCCAAGCTCTTCCAAGAAGCAGCTGGAGCGAAGTCCGGAGCCAGGGCGATCGAGACCGAGGCGTAAGATGCCGAACATGACAAGAAGAAGACATCTCAGAAGATGCCACGATGACGGCAGCCACGATGATTGTGCAGATGAGCAAAAGCAGACGAGGGTGATGGTGCTTGTTCTTGAGTACTTGCGTGTAGCACTCAACCTTCCCAGCACCCCCCCCCCAAACAGAACACGTTGCAAACATTGTGCCAGCCCGCCGCGTGCTTCTCTCACGAAACGGTGCTTCGTCTTGACTTGATATACTTCGCCAGTCGAGAATCACAGAGTTCTTAAGCTGAAGAGTTATCCCCCCACGCCTCATCTAAGAGAGCGAAGGAACTGGGAGACATGCCGACCGATCAGACCCCTTGCGAGCCTTTAAACTCGGCCCCGCCTCTTGGGAGGCGCTGCTGAACCGCCGTCCTGAGCGGCTCAAGCGCTTCGAGGGCGCAGCGGGGCATTTCTCGCTCCCCAGGCTGCGAGATGCCAAGAAGACCACCAAAAGCCGGGTGCATCTCGTTGAATCTCCGGGTCACGGTAGCCTCCTTTCGAAGGCTGTGCATCTTCGATTTTTGAAGCCCGAATCCGAAGTTCTTGGACGTGCTCCCTCGCCTTCAGGGGCCCGGAGGCTCTGGACACCACCATGGTGGGTGGTATCATCCAGGCAGCCTTGGGGTTTCGAGCTCAACATCCAGGGCTGTTGCTTCGGGTGGCGGTTTCTCATTTCCGGGTTGCAGGTTAGGTTAAGTTAGGAGTTGCCAGACCCAGACTTTCTCAAATCATGATCACCGTGATGTTGCCAGGAAACATGGACGTCAAGCCAGCGAGCAGCATGGTAAATCGAGCTTGGTCTAGTACTGCAGAATCTACCCCACATTGATCCAAATTCTAAAGCCAATAGAACTACGTCGCAGGCCCAAAACCCAAAGGGAAACGGATAGAGCGAAAGGGCACCGACGTCGGCCCGAGATTCCCGCGCCGCGCCTCGCGGCCGAAGCTAGAAGGCACCGGATGTCGCGTTTCTTGTTGTTCATATGTTTTCGTTTGGGGGGTCAGTTTTTCAATCTCTGGCACTTTCACTTGTAAAAAGGCCTACGTCAGTCCATGACACCAGTAGTGGCCAGGTGATAGAACATAAGCCTAAGTCACAAGGAAGGCAGTCAGTAACATGATGGTGGTACTATTTAGAGCCTCGAGGGGTTGCTGCTTTTCTGGAGTTTGGTGGTCAGAGGCTTGCGGAGGCTTTTCGCTGTGGCATTGACCCGATCCGGACAGCTCTTTCAGACTCCGATCGTATCGGTGTGTGAAAGTCAAGCCCTGAACCCTAAATCTAAACTCTAAACCCCAAGAGACTCGAGGTTTCACAAAAAGAAACCTAAACCCTAAACTCCTAGTTCCTTATCAAGAGCACCAACAGCAAGGCGCTCCTAAGAAAACCAGAGCCTTGCTATAAGTAGAGTATACCCATGTACACCCCCAAACCCCATTCTAAGTATTAAAGCTCCGATATTATATCCTTATATATAATAGCCCTTACAGTAGCCCTTATAGACCCCTGTAAGGGAACCCTATTCTTCTTATTCAGGCCCCTATGTTAGTTGACAAGAGGTGCAGCCGGGGGCATCGCCCGGCCTGTGATCTGGCGCTACCACGAGAGTACCAAGGAGGTTGCTCCACAGGCCCTGCGCGACCTGCTCTCCCGAGCTTGTCTAAGCCAAACCCTCACAGGGAACATGGCAGAGCACAGTTGACGGTTCGGAACGGTTCCCAGCTGTTCGCGGCTGTTTCTGAAATTGGTTTCTGAGAACGCTTCGACAGTTCCTGTGACTTGTCTGATCGCTCTAACCCTCCAGTGGCATCCACACACAAACAGTTTAGTACATGTGAAGCCTTCATAAAGCCCTCACGTGTTAACCGTAGGCTTGTTCAAATCTGTTTGGGGTTTGGTTTCGTTGTTTGGGTTGAACGAGACTCAACATCTACAGGCCTAACCCCTGTTACGAAGTTAAGAGACAGGTCTACGAGCCTCCACCCAAGCTGGGATACTTGGAGCTCATCCAGAAGCATGAGCAGTTCAAGTACCGTGGTGAGAAGAGATGCTTCAAGGCAAATCGAAGCCTCACGATTTAAGGGTTTCGGTTTCGTGGGGCTAGGTAACACGAGGCAGATCAAAACAACCAGAGGTCCACCAGTGCTGATAGCAAGCCAGCTGCACGGCAAGATGAGACGATAGCAACAAAGCTATATATACTAATATGTCTGCGCACAGGCGAATAAGAATAACAATAATAATAACAGTAAAAATAATAACAATAATAATAATAATAATAGTAGAGGCGAAGACGATACACTGCTGGGCCGAGGCAGGAGGAGCAACGGAGCTGGGAACAGCGTCGTGAACAGGTCCCGGCTTTTCTTGCTCCTGTCTTTCTTGATGGTTCATGGTTCTGAGCAAATTGCTTTGAAGCTTCGGGCGAAGATGCGCTATGAACCCAATGCCCTATCAGCCCTATGAGCCCTGTATGAATCTCCTGATCCCTCAAAGCCTGTGACGCTGTACTGCCTGCAAGCCTTTAACCTCGAAACCCGTCAGCCCCAAGCCTTAAATCCTCGCCACCTCTTCTTGCACCCGAAGCAGATCCAAATTGCATCGAAAGGCGGAGCTGCGGCAGCGGAGGGCCTTCGACGGCGCCTTTGGCATCGCCAGCGACCGGGGAGAGCATCGGGAAGGAGGCACCGAAAAACAGCAAAGAAGGGGGGGGCGGATCAGCTTCGTTAGCTTCTTGGACTGGGCTTTGCTGGAGATGGATTTGGGTTTTTGAGAGGCTGCGTAGTTTTGGGACTGTGTTTCGGGTTTGTGGGATCTTTTCGGATTCCGGTAAGCATTGATTCCATTCCGGGATTCTGGGTGAGACGGCGAAACCACTAACTTGTGTCTTTCCGGGCTTTTCACCATCCATAGGGCAGCAGGCCCTGCAACTTGGCGCATCTTCACCATCCCGAAGAAGCGTACACCAGAAGTTGACGGCGGGTCTGTCTTATATCTATAGTATAATGGGCCCCAAAACCCTATTCTAATTATTAAGGCCCCAAGATTAGCACCCTTCAAAGCTCTCCTGGCCATCGCAGACTAATGCCCGAAACCGGCCGTAGGCCCCAAACGGCTGAAGCCGAAAAGCCCTGAGACCGCCATCTGCTGACCAGGTGGCCGGAGGCGGATTGCTGTGGGTCGCTCTGCTGGTTCGGGAGAGCTGGAGTAGATCCCCTGTCTCAGGTGTGTTTGCAGGAGCTACTGCTACTACTACTACTACTACTACTACTACTACTACTACTACTACTACTATTACTACCATTACTACCATGACTACTATTACTACTATTACTACTATTAGTGAGTGAGTGAGTGTCGACCTGGGGTGCTCTCCGGCCTACGGAAACGGTCCCTCTCGCCTTCTTTGCCCCTCCGCATACGTCATCGGGGCTCCGGTGCAGAGTTCAACGCTCCGGGCCCCTCGATCCGAGCCGGGGATTAGGGGAGGGATGTGCCACCCGAACCTCCAAGGGGCTGCTCCCTCAAGCCGGGCGGCTTGGGTTGGAATTGGACACTTGGCAAGACAGCCCACATCGCAGGAACAAAGCTCTTCCCTCGATGATCTCTCACCGAAGTACTAAGCTGGGGACACTGGCTCAGAGAGGCGGGGCATTGGGGGGTGGGGTGGTCGACCAAACACGCACACACGCACAGCACCGGCAGCGAGACTAAGGGCAAAAGCACATTCAGCTAATGCCCTTGTGTATTACTACTATTACTACTATAACTGTCAGAACACCAGAGCTTGAATCTTCTTACCACTGCATCTCAGGTGGCCCGGAGCATCTCAATGCTCCGGAGGGCCACCCTCTCGCCGACCCGACGCAGGAGGCCGAGAGTGATCGGATAGCCAAAAACATTAAAGTAGGGCCGGGATCTTATAATGACTGCCAATGCTAGTTCCGGGTTTCCCCCCTAATTTGGGCTTCAGTGTTTGGGGTCTATTGGGTTTAGGGTCAAACCGATTGGGCGGTTGGCCAGGGACGGTTTGAGGTTGAGGGGTTCAATCTCTGGACCAATAGATCCGCTGTGCCGAAAGAGTAGTATCGGCATCATAAAGAATACAGACAGGCCGCTCTGACGATGATGGGAAGGACGGTTGCCACGGTAAGTAGGTTAGTTGCGACAGTCGAAGGCAGGAAAGGCCCTGGGCCAGGCCCTGGGAGAGCAGCTTTACGATGGCGCAGCCGGTTGCAAAAGTGCTTGGCGTCACCTGACTTGCATTATAACGGAGTCTTCTGCAGTGACGGCCGTCTCACACGGTAGGGCCTTCTATGAGAGTGGTTGTCCTGAGGATCACCACGGCAGGACTCCGATGCCATGATCCTCGGGTCTTGCGTTTGCCCGGATCTGGGCTTCAGGGGCTGTTCTGTCAGAGAAAATGTATCTACGGCTCCGAATGCCTTGACAACGCCAAGTCTGCAGGACGACTGTGCAAGTAGGCAAATGACAGAAGTAATTGTGACGCCTTTCTCGCGGTCGGTATGCGCAGTATGTGAGTTCAGATGTCCCCCTTCTTTCCGTAACGCAGAGTTATTTCCAGCAAGTAGATAATCTGTGGACATGGACAAGAAGTCAAGACTGCTGACGAAGCACCTGCGGAAGTGCTGTTGAGAGCACGCCCAGCTCTCTCGGCGAGGAGGGCATCCGCCCGGCACCTGTCGCCAACTTCTCCCAGCTGGAGGAACTCTTGAAATTTCGGGTCCGGGGGCGAGTAAGCCGGGTCATTTTGGGGGAATCTGAGGGGACACGTAGGACGTTTTGGCAGTGTGTGACGAGTTAGACATGAACAGAACTGTCTGAACTGTCTGGGGTGGAACTCCCGCTCCTCGTCTCACTTGGGTTTCAGGTTTGTCGTATCGGCGATCACAGCTCCCGGAGCCAGAAGTAGGTGTGTTCGGGGTTGAGGGTTTTGGGGTCTCCGGTTTTGGTTTGCAAGGGTTTGGGGTGTTGGGGTTTTGGATTTCGGTGTTGGGGCTTTAAGGTTGTGGGGTGAACAGTTCCAGGGCAACCGGTAATAGTAATACTCGTACTTCAAGCCTGGAGCGTTGTGTTGAAGAGGTTGAAGAGCTTGAAAATCTATCATATATACTCCCAACCCTGAAAAATACTAAGATCGTACACCCTCAAGCCCTCAAACCCCCTCCAAAAACAGAAAGTAAACCGAGAAGCCCGGGCTCAAATGCCCAGGAGCACTCAGCCGAGAACCGAGAGCAGCGGCTGAGAGATTTTGAAGGTTCCACGGGAACCCCAAGCCCAGAGGGTTGACAGTTCGGAGTTTAGAGAGCTGATGGCAATACCGACATAATATGCATGTATACGTATATATATATATATATATATATGTCATATGTATACGTACATACGTATACATCTAATCGTATATATGTATGTGTATATATGTATGCATAACATACATATATGAGAATTCTGTGCTGCTCGAGATTTCCCGCTTCGGCTCCGCAGGTCTGGAAGTCGGACACGTCAATTGCCGTTTCGTTGACCCCTCCTACCTTCAGCGCCGACGGCCTACAGTAGGATTTAGGGTTTCAGTTTGACAGCTTGAAGTCCTGTGAGCCCCATAGAATAGATGCTGAGCTGAGATTTTAGTAGCCTCTGAGCTGAGTGCTTGGCGCGAGGTGCAGCGGGGCGACGGAGCGGCCTGCTTCTGGGCAGGCGAGCGACCTTCTTTTGGCGGGATTCATCTTGAGGGTTTGTGTGGCTTAGATGGCTTCGGAGACACAGGGTTGAGAAGGGTAGGGTTACCATCATCTTTGAATTCATCCTTTTTCGAGGCAGCGCGAGCTTCTTCCCCACAGCGCTGCTGAGAGAGCTGGTTGGGGGCGCCAGGCGGGTGGGACATGGTTTGGGCCTGGGGCTTAGGAATTTGGAATTCGGGTTTTTACTCAGTTTGGCTTGGACGTTCTTGCTAGTCTTTGCAAAGACTAGAGCATGTCGCTTTGGCACTGGAATGCCGGGATCCCAACCCTGAATTCGAAACCCTGTATTTAGGCCCCCATGCCCGGGCCGAAGAAAGAACTCAGCAGCTGTAGCAGGCACTTTACATGTCAGTTCGGCTTACTCATGCAGGACAGAGCAGAGTCTACCGATCACAGAGCGGTGCTCCCATAACAAGGAGATGGGCTACCTGGCGCGAAGTCCACGTGATCGCGAGATCATCGACAAGATGATTGCAGGCCTCGGGCAGTCCCCACACCACAGGTCTGACCATGCCCACCCAAATGGTAAGATGAAAGAAGCGAGCGCGATGGTCACTCTTGTTCACATCTGCTCCCGCGAGGCGGCGCGCGGGATGTCCTCAAAGGGCTTCAAATCGTTTCTACTTCGACGGGGGCTTTAGAGGAAACAGGAGCATAGGCTCGAGCCATCAGGCCTGCATACTAAACCGTAAATGCTGTTGAATCTTTGTCATCGTACAGGCTGCTACTATGCCTGAGCCATGCTTCTAGGGCTTGTGGGTGTTTGGGAGTCCAGAGCTGTGGAGTAGACGCAGAAGCCCCTGGTGGTCAAGGTGTGGAGCTCACCATCGGCTGATCCGGAAGTGGAGCTTCGGCATTTTCAAAACGACGTTATTAACACTTGCCCCCCTCCGCCCTCCAGCGGCGCGAACGTATTCGGAAGAACCGAGTACTGGGATTGCCGGCCCTTGTGTTCAAACTCCTGGGAGACCGGCTGACCGAACCCCAGCCTAGAAGCCTAGACTCCCTGGACCCTAAATCCTCAACCCTTTCGGATGTCGCAGCCGGGTGGGCCGGAGGGAGGTGGGCAACAAACGGATGCGATGAAGTTGGGCGCACGACTTCCAGAAGGAATGCTGCGCTGGCATCCCTGCTTTGCCTAAGGCAAAGAGCAGCATCCGAAGTTTACAGTAGACATGCATAGCAGCAAACATAGGTACTAGCAGATGCAGATACCTAGAGACATACTACTTCTACCATGCGTGTTCGAGATGCGTGATCGTGTGTTGAAGTTACAAATGAACTCATGTATGTAGATATCTTTATCTTGACCCAAGGTCAGCATATTGTCCGTCGCAAGCAGCAAGCCAAGTTCGTGCCCACAAAAGATGTCCTGGGATTTACTTGGCAGTTGTGGCTTCAAGATATGTCCGCAAAGCTGGGGTGTTTGGTAATAATATTCGTGATGACAATATCATCACAACAGTAAGTCGAGTCCGGCTTTCCCTATGCAGGACATTGACAAGAAACCCTGAAGACGAAGCACTAAGCCGATTCTTGGCCTGTTGCCTTTTGCACAGATGTCAGTGCACAAGACACTTGCTCAGCAGATCTCAGAAGACTGCCATCCTGGTAGGCCGCAGGCGTTGTAGGATGTACACTGGAACAGACTGCCGAAGGCTGCTGGAGGCTTAAAAAAATGAATGCTTGGAAACCCCATGCCCTGCATGCTTCTCGACTGTCTTCCAGACTGGGAGGTGGGGGTCCCCCTGCAACAACCCGCGTCTTTGAGCATTACCCGAGACGCATCAACATGTCAGTGCAAACACAGCCAAACCTGTGTATGTATTCATATATATATATGTATATCTGCACCTTTGCACGCAGAGATCTACATGAATCAGATTGGGTCCTTTCCGATAACGAGGCCGGCACCGGCAAGAGCGATGATCTCTCCGAGGTGCGGTGTAGGGCTTTGCGATTTATGGTCATTTTAGTTTGAGAGTGTCACGGGATACGGACCAGAAAACGCCGGCCCGTATTACGTGGTTTCTGTATAGTTTAAGGCAATTTAGGGAGGCTATTTAAGTATCCAATATATTTTTTTAGTAGGTTTGTGTTGCCATGGTTGTTGGAGAGATCTGCGCTTTATACTGCTATAATCATGATTACCTAAGGGTTGCCGTGTGGTTTTGTTTATCTTGAGCACCGGTGCTTCCGTAAGCCACTTCTATTGTTACCAGCGCCTGTACCATTAGCAGCATCGCAGCCATGCTTGTCATCATCAGCTGTGGCATCCTTCTTCTCCTTGTCATCAGGGGCTCTCATAATCAGGCTAGAGTTTAAGCAGCAGCGTAGTTTTAGGTGTCGTTGTAGTTGCAGCTGCAGCTGCAACAGCATGCTTGTCGCCGCCGTCATCATGATCATCATCAGCAGCAGCATCCCCAGCACCAGCTATCACAATACTTTTCCTCTTCATGGACCTCTTAGTTACAAGCCTCGTCGCCGTTACCACGCTGTTATCAGTGGCAACAGACAAGATTGGTGGGAGAGAGAGAGAGAGAGAGAGAGAGAGAGAGAGAGAGAGAGAGAGAGAGAGAGAGCGGCACATGCTAACCATGGTGCTGGCGGTGGTGGCATGGAGAGATGATGGTCATGGTGATGATGAGGATGATGATGATCTAGGGTGCCATGCTGGCAGTGGTAGTAGCTACAGATGAAGATGACAACAATGGTACTGCTAATTGATAGCGATACTGGCAGTGCCTACAAAGTGGGCCGGTCAGCCACGCTGTTGCCGTTTGTTAGCATCTACCAATAGGGCTCAGGGTTTGTTTTTTTGCCGGGTACGCTTCCAGAGATGCAGTGGCGAACCTTAGCGCAAAGCTGAGGTGTTAACGCACGACCCCATGCAGCACCACCGATACTAATGTCAGGACGAGGATGCTGCCGATGACCTGGGCCGGGTGGTTGCGGGGCAGCACCAAGCGAGCTCTAATGCAAGCTGCTATAGTTCAGATCAATTTTAAGGACTCTCTTCAGAGAGAGGGTCTACGAGGGTCTGAACGAGAAGCCAGGCGAAGGCTAGGATCGAATTCGGCTTGAATTCCGAAACCGTGGACCTGCCCTGCAAGAACTAGCTGTCCTGTTGCTTTTCTGTTCGCAGAAGGATTGTGCAGCAACTAGGCCCTGCCTACTTAGGCTGACTTGTGTCTGCATGGACAATGGAGCTCCGCCTGGAAAGAAGACCCGGCACACTGCAAATTGCCTTGCGTTTGAGGTGCAAGCCGTGGCCACAGACACGGCTCTCATCTTCACTTCCCTTCTGGCGCTGCAGGCAGGTCTCCCTGCAGACCCTTGCAAGCCGGCTATCCTTAAGATTCTGGCATATACTGTAGTATATGATAGCATATTGTAATATAGTAGTACATTGTACATCACAGTATACCATAGTATGCGTCACCGCCTATCCTAGTACGTCATCGTATACGGTATCGCAGTGTTATTCGTCCCTCCTTGAAGGACGTGGATGAGAGCATGGGTCCGACCCACGTCTGGCCTGGGACCAACACCGTCGAGCATCACGCCACGCTTTGGGGTGCGCCCGGAGGGTTTGCTCCGTCGCTACAGGATGAGGGTATTGTAGGGTTACGATAGGGTTTCGAGTTTCAGGACTTGGACAGAAGAGAGGAGTCTGTTCACGTGAACTGTGTACATCTCACACTTTTTGCCGATCGATCCTCGAACTGCAAGGTTCAATGACAGGACCGTTAGGCCCAGACAAATAAAGACAAAGGGAGGGGCATCGGCAGCGGACGCCATTCCCTCAAGGAAGGGGGAGAGAGTCCGAAACCTGTATTGAAAGGAGACGAGTCGCCAGTGCCATAGCCATCCACCGCCAGAAACGGTTTCAAAGTGGTCCCTCAAGTCCCTCAAGCCAGGATGCACACTGCACAGCGGGTCTCCCCCCAAAGCTTGCACTCTGAACCGTGTCGGAGCATGAGGTTGGCCGTTGCGGTAGTGTGCTGAATTCCTCGCAGGCTCACACATCACCGGCAAGCTGTCCGTGCGAGATGCTGACAAGGCCGCGGATTGGACAGAAACGCTTCATGCTCTTGAGGCCCAGGCTGCTCCACAGATACAACCCTCCTCCCCGACCGCCGCAGGCGTTCCAGGTAGATCATCGGAAGATGACCCTGCAATGCGGGGATCTCGTCCTCTACGACTCAAGGACCATGCACTGTGGAGGTGCCTGCGAAGGGTTGTGGCTTCGCGGCTTCCAAACCAAGCTTCAGACTGTAATTACGGCCAGGCTTCGTTACTGCCTGGAGTTAGGGACTTAAAGCAACGCGCCGAATGGCTAATGCGGGTAAACTTACCCGGGCTTTTGTTTCAGGGTGCCTTCACTGACCACCTGTGGGGTTGCAACGGAACTGCACAGCTGATCATAATTACTCTAAAGTTTCATGCCGGGTGATTTCGTCGGGCCAGGCCCGAACAACTCTGATCGGCGCAGATCGGTGTTCTGTGCCTGGCCCTGAGCTGCATACCTATGTACATGCCGTGTACTTCTATATTTGTATACATATTATATATCATATATATATGTATATATATATATATATATATATCATATATATATATATATATATATATATATATAGACATAGATGCATGCGTGAGTGTATGCATGCATGCACAATTATACGTAGGCACGTACATAGACGCATGCATATGCCTATGCATGCATGCATGCATGCATGCATGCATACGTACATACATACGTGCATACATACATACATACGCTCACACATACGTGCATACATGCGCACATACATGCGCTCATACATACGCTCGTACGCACACATATACATACAAGCACACACATGCATACATACCATACACATACATACGTACAGACATACCCATGCACACATACGTACCCAGACTTACTTACCCATACACATACACTCATACATACATACATAAATACAAACACATGCACACACACACACACCTACATACACCTACGTACACCTACATGCACATACAAATGCATACAAACCCATATATATATATATACATATGTACATCCATATGCTTATATATATATATATTCATATGTATATATATATATATATAGATATATGTGTATATATATATATATATACACACATAAACATATACATAGAATGACATATACATGTACATGTACATAGACATGTCCATATACAGTACATACACGCGCATACAACATACCCATTCATCTCTATGCACACATGCATATCACACATATGTATACATATGCATATGCATGTGGACACACACACACACATACTCACACATACACACACATACACGCACGCACACATACACACATACTTGCATACTTATATACGTACATATATACATGCATGCATGCATGCATACATATGCCCTCGCATACATGAGATGCATATGCCCATGAAGAGAGAGGTACGTGTATACCTATCCATCTGCATCTCACTCGCTCTCGCTATCTACCCATCCATCCATCCATCCATCCATCCATCTATCTGTGTTTATCTAGCTGTCCGTCTATCTGTCTGCTATCTATCCATTTATCTGTGTTCTCTCTCTCTCTCTCTCACTCTGTAGCTATCCGGCTGGCTGGCTGTCTGTCCGTAGTTCCGTCTGCTTCGTTGATGGGGAGGGCGAGAAAGGGCTGTCCCCTGGACCCCAAAACCATCGAAATCTGAAGATCAATCTCCTCCAACCCCGAAACCACTGCAAGTCCAGGTGCCGTATAGAATTTCCAAGCAGACTTGCACAGGTAATTATAGGAAGTGCCATCATGCAACAGTCCACATGGACAGTATAAACCCAAAATCCGAAAGCCCTGAAACCCTAAACTCAAATTCCGAAACCGCCTACCTGAAACCCTGAACCCTAGACCCAAAACCCCTATCCTCAAGGCCTCGGCCTGACAGGCATTCCGATCAACACGAGAGGGCGAGATGAAAAGGGGCCGGAAAAACAGACCCCAAAACTCCAACCGGAGTCAAAGGAGCGGTGCATTACGCTAAAATAAGAAACCGAACCCTACAATCCCAAACTCCGAGGCCCTGCACCCTCCTCGGACCCCTAAACCCTAAACCCTAAACCCCTACAGCAGACTTCATAAAGTTGGATACCGGATTAAGGCCACATAGTGCTGGGATTCCCTATACATTGCTCTTAAGGATAGAAGCTATGAGGTTTCCAACTTTTGGGCTTCTACAGTAAGCCCTAAACTCCAAACCCGAGTCTCTGCTGAACAGGTCTCGACGATGGGGCCGGGCATCCGCCCCGATGGTACCACGAGCTCCCGGCACAAACTTAATTTATCCATCATTTCTTGGTGAAATATTAATTATAGCCAAGTACTGAATTCATGAGTTAAACGAATGAAAGAAATGAGTCATTTACTTGATTAATTACCTAGGTAGGTAAGCAAGTACATATTTGTACATATGTATACGGGACTAGGAAGGAGCATGATTTGCCAGTTAATTGGCTTATGTATTACATCTGCTTTGGCACCGTCGCAGATGCTGTTTTACCATATGCGCCCGGCTTTTCGGGTGCCTATAACTAAAGCATGATTATGAGAGCTTGATTTTTGAATATGGGGTCGTGACAAAGCCATGAACCGTGATCATCGTTGCAAGTTTTGCAAACAGCAATGGACACCAACGACCCCCCTCCTCAGATTCTTGTTGTGAAATTTCCCTGTCTTGAAGCGCCGTGTTGACATGTCCTCATGCGTGAATAGTTTTTGAGACAGTTCTGAACGCACCCTGTACGACAGACGTCTTGGGCTCAGACCAAAAAGTGCGCTCGTTGTGTGGTTGGACACTCACTAATCCAGTTCCTGCTTCAAACTGGTAGCGGAGCTGTGAGGACAACCACTAGTGTTTCACCCCCGTAGAGCCTGTGGTCCGGGGTCCGTTGGGTAGAGTAGTGATAGTCGCGGCGCAAAGGCCCCTTCTATCTGAAGCCATGAGCGTGGCAGGTTTGCGTTACCAGCCCAATCTCTGGTCACAGAACCTGAGCCCTGCAGAAACGAAAAGCGGTTCGTACATATACGACGGTACGGCTGCTGGCTTCCACGATTGGTGCTTCCGGACACAGATCCGTGTGCTGCAACATAAGGAGAAGCAGCGGCGTGAAGCTCTTAAGGACCTGCGATTTGCCGAGTCGGCAAGGGCCAAGAGCGAGTCACCAAGGAAGTGGCGTGGCAGGGCAAGTCAGGGGACCAGCGCATCGCCCACAGATGGTGATGGAAGCAGCGGTATACCCGCCAGTCCGTCCAGCGCAAAACGGACTAAGCCCGCGTCCGAGGCAGAAGATGAGGATGCGGAGTCGTTGCCGTCGCACCCCAGCCAAGTGGCGGGCGACGATGAGCAGGAGCCGGACACAGATCCGGCGGTGTACACCTTGCAAGACATTAAGGACGAGTCGCTTGATATGAGCGAATGCGTTAGCAAGATTTTGGAGGGTCTCCGAGGAGACGCCTTTTGCATCGCTCGCGACGTCGGCCTGGAACGTCTGCTACGCCATGATGGCGTCGACTACCTGATAGAAGAAATCAGGAGGCAAGCTTTCCCTCTTCAATCTGAAGAGGCGTCCGAACTTTTCCGTCAGGGACAGCTCCTGACGGGCCCACTCGCAAAGCAGCCCGGCGAGCCTATGTTGTCTTACATAGCCCGCCGAAAGCGGTGGTGGTCGACCTTGCGTGAGCTAGATCCTGATATCCGCCTTTCTGAAGCAATGAGGGCTAATCTCCTTGTTGAGCTTTCAGGGTTGGAAAGGAATGAACAGCTAATGGTCAAGACCGCTGCCCGCGTACACACCGTGGATGAGTACGCACGCGTCCTTGTTCAGCATCACTCAGTGGTGCACATGAAGGAACGTCTTCTTACCCAGAAGGACCCTAGTGGCCCAGGTAAGACCTGGAGACGTTTCGACGCTAAGCCACAATACCCTAAGTTTGGTTACATGGGGTATGATGGTAGTGCCGCAGAGTATGGTCACCAGGAACAGCAGGAATCCGCGGAAGGCTACGGTGACGGCTACGGCGAGGAAGCATACCAGGCCACAGCGTCTGGGGGAGATGATGCGGATGAATGGATTGATGATGAAGACCTAGCATTGCAACTCAACGCCTATACGGCAGTGGCATATGAAGCTGAGATTGACGATCTGGATGATTCCTATGCCGAGTCAGTTCAGCTTGCGTACGCGGCACAGACCGCCTTTGCCCAGGCAAAAGGAAAAGGAAAAGGGAAGAACAAGGGCAAGTCCTCCGGAAAATCCGGTGGGAAGGTCGTGCGTAGCAATTTGACTATTGCTGATCGTAAGGCCAAGTTGGCAGAGCTTAAGGCAAAGAGTAGGTGCCTGAAGTGCGGTGTGATCGGCCATTGGGCCGGAGATGCTGCCTGCAAGTTTAGCGGTAAGGGCAATGGCCCCAAGGGCACCACAACCCCAGCACAGTCTGGAGGAACTGCCAACGCAGCCGCAAAGCCGGCGGCGCCGAAGCCCCAGGCGTATTTCGCCGCAGTGGAGGAGGATGACGACACAGAGTGTGTCCACTGTCGAATGCGAGCGCTGGTAGGCTCGAGGGTTACCCAGCCAACCTTGAGCTGACTCCCTCAAGGACCAATACCGGCAAAGGCCGCGGCAATGAACCCCTCTTCTCACCGCAGCTTCGGCGCACAGCCGCCGCTAGGATCATGCGTGACAGCCCGCCTGAGGGTTCCGATCGCGTTTTCTCCTTTGGTCAGCATAAGGGTCTGACTTATGAGCGTGTCTTGTATACGTTTCCTGGATATGTTCTTTGGGGACGCACGCAGAAGTGCCCATCCATAAATTTGGCCGATTTCTTGGATTGGGTCACGGAGTACTTTGATGTGCGTGATGACAACCCCATTAGCATTACGAGAAGGGATGTCCCTCTCAGCCAGGAGCCCCCGCCTGAACCCTTTCAGCCCGAGGTTCGCCTCGCCGCGTCAGCTGCTTCGTCCAGCGAAGGCCCCCGGAAATGCCGGGGAGGTTGCAAGGAGTTCAACAAGTCGGGGAGTAACGCATACATAGACATGCGGACCTGTAAGAAATGCGGCACCGTCACCAAGACGAAGAAAGAGAAGCCTGTCATAGACCAGGCCACATGCCCCCACACCTCCACCGAGAGGTCGGGTAGCAGTAGGAAGACCTCCCGCATTAAGTGCAAGCTTTGTGGGATGCTTCTAGATGAGCAGCCGCAGACCGAGCGAAAGGCTAGGGATGACGCAGCCACAGTGCTGCGGGAGTCCAACACCCTGGACTTCGATCTTCTGCGCAGCATAGTCGGCAGCACGGGGGATAGCCTCCCCGTAGAGGTAGTAGTTCCGGCTATTGCCCAGTTTCAAGAGACCATAGAGGGTCACTTCGTAACCGAGCCCGTGATATCTCGCGGTGACCTTCTCGCATACCTGCAAGAGGCCTTAGATGATCACTCTACGTCATCGACCAACAACAGTTG